ACAAAGTAAAGTCGCCACAGTCCTACAGGACCATAATGCTGCTCTCTCATTAGAGAAAGACAATTGGTGGTGGTTTAACCTGAGGGTCACCATGCCTCAGGCGAAGGGAGAGGATGAGGAGAATCTTTCATAGCAGCCTCAGCTGGTGTAGGAATTGAACCCATGCCGTTGGCATCACTCTGTACTGCAAACTAGCTGTCCAGCCACATGTGATAATCAAACACCAATTGTATACAATTCATATCACAGAATTATTACAGTACAGCAGGAGGTCAGTCAGCAGGTCATGTCTGCATTAGCTCTCCAAACAAGCAATTCACCCAATGTCATTCTCCTCCCTTCTCCCTACAACTCTGCAAATTCATTCTTTTCGAATAACCATCTAATTTCCTTTTCAATATTTCTAAAGAACCACACCAAATGGTCAAGGAGTGCATTCCAGTCCTCACACAGAATGAGAAAAGCTGTTTCTCATATTAAATTTGCTCCTTTACAAATTACTTTAAATTTGTACCTTCTCCTTCTTGATCCAGTTATGAATGGGAACTGTTTCTCCCAACTTACTCTTTGTAGACCTTTCACGATTTTTAGTACTTCAGTCATATCTTCACTCAGCTTTCTTATCTCCAATGATAACCAATCTTTCTAAATCCATCTTCATAAATGAAACTCCTCATCCCTAAAACTAACCTTGTAAATCTCTTCTGCACTCTCTCCAAAGTGTTCACATCCTTCCTTATGTGTGGTATCAGGGAAAACGACTGCTTCAGCCAACTAGTGGATTATATAACTTCAACATTCCCTTGTTCTTGTACTCTCTGCTTTATTGATAAAGTCTAATGTACTGTATACTTTATTAACTACTCCCACAAACTGCTGACTATGACTTATGCATATATGGTCTGAAGAGTGACAAGTCACATATGCAGCTTTATTCCAAAGTGAAATATTTTTATTCCATTAAAGTTGTTGGTGAAAAAATAGTCAAGAGCAATAAAGAAATTCATTTGGCTATAAGTGTTTGCAGGTCTCTGCCCTAATAATCTGTACACCTTCACTCATCCCTATGACCCTTTATAGCGTTGTGAAAATTATGCCCTGCACCCATCATCTTTTGCCTTACATTCTCCATGAAAGTTCACCTATTACCCACACTGGGAAGGCTTAAGACCCAGGCTGAGATAAAATTAGATCAACTTTTTAAGTGTCTATTGACAAGTTGCTATTTAAAAATGGATAATCTCATTGATTACAAATTAATACATTTAATTCCCTTCAACTACTTGACCCCTCATAAAATCAAACATTTAAATTCATAGCCCCACTTCAAGTGATTGTATAAGCAGTCGAAGCAGTCAAACTGTGAACTGTCAGGCACCTCCCAGTTTTAATGGTAGATTGTGAAATCAATCATGCAGCATAAATCCTTTAATGATAGCCCTCACGTTAATATCGACAGAGTGAAACAACAAGCACTGATTGATTTTATTAAACTGCATGCAGTTTTCTCAAAAATTTGAAGTCCATGAGATTGAAGCCATCTGACACTTTGACTGCTCAACAGTTCCCTTGACAGTTCAATTGAATTTAATCATTTTTACACATACTTGTGTCTACTTTTAACAATATCAAAAAGTACCTCAACCCTCCAAAGTTGCATTTTACCTCTTTCAAAAATGTTACTGGACCTACACAAAAGCGTACTCCACCTCTCTGAAAGGATACTCTACTTCTCCAAAGAACTCCAAGATCTTTAGACTTTGGCTTGAAAAGTAAAATGCCTCACATTGTATTTTTGAGATTCCACAAGTAAAAATTGGATCTGATTTTAATATAGACATTGCACATCCATGGGTCACAGAGGCAAAGTGCAACCTGATCCTGTTCCCAACCCCAACTCCAACCCCAGCAATCCCCTCTTTACCTCCCCCCAGTCTGGCAAAAATAGAAGAAGCTGGTTTTGGGGCAAGATATCCAGAGTCATGGTTTCAGCACAATTTTTGCTAAACCAGAGTTTCTCTCCATTTTAAGGAATATGAGGGCCTCTGGCTATCGGAGCAGGTCAGAGATTTGAATTCTGTGGTAAACAACTCACCCCCTGACTTTTCATAAGCCTTTCACCATCTACAAGAGAGAGCTAGGAATGAAATGGAATACTCCCTACTCGCCTGGATGAATGCAGCTCTGAAAAATTCAAGAAGCAAAAACTATCAAGGATAAAAAGACACCAAGTAAAATGTCACTGCCTCTACAACAGGTGCAAGGTGTTAATGGAGCGCATCATTTAAAACTGCATTGCAGCAATTCTCCAAGGCTTCTTCACTGACACCTTCAAAACTATTATTCTACCAACAGGACAGGAACGGGAACTGCAGCAATGGCCCTTTCCTTTCCAAATTACAGACCATACTGACTTGGAAATTTATTACAATTTTATAACCATCAGAGGTTTAAAATCCTGGAATATCCTACTTAATAAACTATCACCACTACAGGGACTATAACATTTCAAGAAAGTGACTCATCACCACATTCTCAAGGATAATTAGAGACGGCTCACAGAAGAAGGCCTTGCTGGTGATGCCCACATCCCATGAGTGAATAAAAATAACTAGTTTCTGAACATGGGTGATGTTGCTAAGCTTACATTTTACTGCACATTTGTAGTTTGTGATTCCTAAGGTTACGGTGATGAGCATTGCTAACACACTGAAGTATTTGATTTAATGTTGCTTCCACAATGGCACAGAATAGGTAATTCCAGGATATTGATATTGCAGAAATGAAACAGGACTGAAATATGCTGCAGTACTGAACTACCAATGACACAATGGAATTATTCACTTAGATTGATTACTGTAACCAACTGCTCAGGAAATAATTACAAATAAAAGTTGAAACAATTGTCCAATGCTACAGAAGGAAGGCAATTTAGTTTCCATAATTGCAATTTCTCTTGAAAGGAGGTCATAATTTTGACCAAGAAAAGGGATGTACATATTTTTTATAAATCTCCAATAGGCCTTCTATCGGCCAGCTCAACAGAATGACCAATTCCAGAGCATTACTTTCAACATGAAATGGCGAGGAAATTGAAGTGAGATATGTTTTCAAATACAGGGTGTCCCCAATTTACTAATGTCCAAAATATGAACATTCATACCTACTTGTCCTATAATATTTATTTTAAGGATCCAATATAGGAACATTTCCTTATTCTTATGAATGGTTATTTTATATTATCCTGCATTGTGTTCTGACTTAAATATAAATCAACTTGCAAATGATGTTCAGAACAGAACTACCTGTAAATTGTTTTTCAGAAGGCATTTTATTTCACTTGACCACTTATACAAATTATTTACCTCATGTGCACAGTCATCCATTGACTTCTCCACACATGGCAGTCCAGAGGACGGGATGTTCCTTCTGGATACGACCAAATCCAGGTCATATTTAGTAGTCTGCGGTGATTTGTGACGATGGGCTTTTGAAATAGAAGCCTGAAGTACGGAACTACGAAAAGGAGATTTCATATTTGTGAAGGTTGTTGTAAAAGAACCTGAAACAACAATTTAAAATGCTTGAATAAAAGTAATAAAAGAGGTCATATTACTTATTATTGAAGAACTGAATTCTTTAAAATTGATCACAATAGCAAAGCACAGTCTCATGCTTAGATCGCAAGAAGAACCACACAATGTAAAGTGAAGTTAGAGAACTGCCAAGTCCACACTCCTATTATATCTGTCCATACTATCGAAAGATCTGGGTCTTTCAGAAAGAAAACTTTATTTTATGTTGGGATGTTGGTTCCTTTAAGAAATTGGAGTTGAGCTTGGGTCATGGACTTGGCTTCTAGTTAGTGATGATCTGATCAAATTGCATGGACATAAACAATAGACTTATAGGATTAAGAATGAGTTTATTATAGGGGTGAATAGATTGAGAGTGTGGTCCCAAGCAGAATTTTTAATTTCTAGCAAAGTTCATTTGAAATTTGATATGCTGGCTAAACAAAATTAAACTTCTTGTTAACTGAAGGATTCCTAGCAGACAGTTAGGCTTCTGGGATAGCCAAGCTGAGAAGCAAGAGAGGGAGAGAGAGGGAGAGAGCACAAGAGAGAGCATGACCAAGTATGCACAAACAGAAATAACAGAATGAACAAGAATGAGGCAAAAATAGTGAAGAAAGCAAGAAGATGAGAGGAACAGAGAGATAGCAAATAGAGACAGTGAGAGACAGCAGAAGAGAAAGTAAGATAGAATATGAGAACCTATGAAAAGAGATCAGGAAAACTGGGCTTGTATCCTCTTGTGTTTTGAAGAATAAAAAATGATCTCACCGAAACCTACAAAACACTTAAAGGTATAGACAGTGTAAATGCTGGTAAGATATTTCCCCCTGCTTAGGGAATCTTGAACTAAAACCACAATTAAAAAATAAAGAGAAAGCCACTTAGAACCAAAGTGAAAACTTTTTACTCAGCATTTTGTGAAATTCTCCTTACTAGATGGCTTAGGATGCTCAGTCATTGTGTGCATTGAAAATAGACTTCGTCAGATTTCTAAATGTCAATGACATAAAGGAATAAGGGGAGTTGTGGATCATCAGCCATGGTTGTATTGAAGGTGAAGAAGGTAATGGGATGACTAGCCTGCTCTTATATTCCCGAGAGAGTGAGGGAGAGCAAGAGAACAAGACAGGGCAAAAGACCATCACAGAAAGAGGACGATAGCATGAGAACAACCAAGAGAAAGACAAAAAACAAGGGAGGGGAAAGTTTTGGATTAATTCTGACATCTATTCCCTATGAATTATTTTTGTATGTTTCGACACAAATCTCATTAGCGATTAAATACTTGAGACTTGTGGTGATTCAGGATGCTTTCATCAATCGAGCAAACAACATCATCCTCTTTGGATTAAAATGTGTTTTCCAGCAAACAAGCCTAAGAACAGTTATTTTAATTCAATTTGAGGATATTGGCTACTTTCATAAAATAGTCGAGTGATTTCACAACAAATATGCTTCAGCATAGTCTTTGCATCTCATTTTGCATTCTCCACATCAGTGCTTCTCAAAGTTTTTCCCTTTGTGAATGCACTTTCATGCTTGACAATAACCAATATGTGGATCAGTGGGAATGGGAAAGGAGAGATATGCAAGAGCCAGTTGGAGTTGGAAAGGGACCTATGAGTGTGGGGAAGGGGTGGGGTGAGATATACGTGGATGAGGGCAGTGAAAAGACACGGGAGAGCATGGAATGGAAAGACCTCAGACCAAGAGTGAGAATACTAAAAGAGCACCTACTTATCCACAGATTTTCTCAAAGCAGCTTTCAGCTGGTTAGGACATACTCATGTCAAGAAAAAAAATAAAATGGACAATTTATGGTTGACTTGGTGCTTGTGGCCCAAAAATTTAAAATTTTGGGAAGCCCTACTCTGCATTGCCCAACAGTTTATTTAGTGGATTGTTCAAAGCCATAATCATGTTACCCTCAATAAATAGAAGGGAAGAGAAACTGCAAAAACAAGTCTTGAAGTTGTAGCAAGACTGAGAACAGACAGCAATGTTGCTTAAAGCTATCCTCCCATTCCCACTTCAAATGTGAATATAATATTCCCATGAGCTCATTCCACTCAAAACATTGGCAACCTAGTGATAACAGCAGAATGTTGATCATAACAAATTCTTACCCCAACCATACAATGCTCCAACCAGATAGTAATTTCGGTAGAATGTCAAGTTCTACTGGCCAAGAAACAAGGGCATTTGACTGAGATGTGAAGGTGAACACAAATCACTAATGGTAGTTGAACGTACTTTTATCTTTGCTATTCTCAACGGTCAAGTCACGGGGCTTGGAAGTGCTGTTAGAAAGTAACAGTTGCAGCGCGTAACCTGTAAGTTGTATGTACTAGAACCACAGTATGTCAATGATGAGATAAGTGGATCACCAAGTCCCGTGGCAGGACACTAAACAAACACATTCTACTGTTCTGAACCATGATGGACGTTGACTGTCCTTGCAGTTGCCCTCATTCACACAGGTGATAAATTTTGAATTGCGCATTGTAGATGTTGAAAAGCTTTGTGGGCTCAGGAGGTGATCCTTCATTCGGGTAATAGCCTGTGCTCTGCTGTTATATTAATATGGCTGGTCCAGTTAACCATCTGTTCATAATGAAGTTAATAAGCAGACATTAGAGAAAACCACCAGATTTGTGTGTGAAGCTTGCAGGGTTACAGCAGATTAACTGCCAGACAGGATCGCTACACATACAGCACTTGGAATTCTTAAAAGGAACTCTCTTAAAGGCAAGGTGTACAAACAACATCTCGTTACATTATGAAAAGAAGTTGTTGTTGTAAATAGGTGAACTGAGTCTATGAATCTGAGTCTCTAAGCTGTTTAGGTTATTTGCTGATACATCCAAATCCCAATGGTAACTTTGCCTGGAGGTGTCATTGATTAACTGCCAATAATCATTGTGATACTGTCCATCACTGCTGTTTGCATTTGGGCTCTTGTACATGATGTAAAAGGATTGGAAGGCCATGGGAAATTGAAACTGACTTGATTAGTTCCAGATTTTGTCTCATCAGTTACACTGCCATGCAAATGGACTCAAAGGATCTCAACGTATTTGTCGACTCACTGTAATTTTACCAATTCTGTACTCCCCTATTTATCACACTGGTCATTTTCTCTTGCAGGTTTACAAGATGTTCTTGAGTTTCAAAAAGAGAATTTCAGGTACAGGTCAACAAATTGGTACACATTGGTCTGCCAAATGTGAGCTCCACCAGTGATGGAATGACTACATTCAGAGTGTTGCTCTCAGATATAATATTAGAATGTCTTCCTTGACTTACCTACATTTGAGGACTAGATTTTTGACTCTGTGTATCATGCATTCAGCTAGAACATTGAACCTGGAATAATCTAAAGTAGTAGTAGTAGTACGATCAATAGTCCATTTCTCACGCAAGTCTGAGAATGTGCTCAATGCTCTCAGTGTAGGTGTCAAATATACAAAAAATGGAGCTAAGAGTGTGCGTGATAGTTATGCTTGACATATTGTGCAATTAACAAATGATGGTGTATTTGGTAAAATAGTCAATGATAATGCAGTCATTTCCATAAACATGAAATATATTGAAAACAATGTAAGACCAAGGAGAGGCAGGGACTTTGTGGTATCAATAGCTCTGTGCTTTGACTTGGCATATGCTCTTCACATGGCTCACAGTTCTTAACAAAGTGACAATGTTACTGTTAATATCTGGCCAATAGATTGACTCTCTTGAGTCTTCTCATTCGATCTATGTCCATATGTACATGATGAAGTCGTTGAAGAATATCAAGTTGCTAAGGATCTGGCATGTTGACCTACCGTCCTTTAAAAACGACCCTATAGAAAAATTTAGCTCATACCAGAAAGATCAATATGGTCACATAAGTGCATGGATGTGCTGAATTGACTCAGAACACCTATAACAATGTTTTTCTCATACCTGTGGAATCCTTTTCTGTTTCATCTTGGAACTGATGTTATGTACCAGATCAATTTGGACAACACCTTCAAGTTTGATGTTATAAACTAAGGGCATAACTTAAGTTTTGACCAAGTTAGGTAACCAAAGTGTATTCAATATGAGCATCAGATTACTAGCTTGGATTTAATCTCACAAACATAACCTTAGATCTTTATCAGGAAATGGCTGCAATCTTGGCAGTCAAGGGTGTTGGGCAAATCTTTTCTTTCATTCCTAGGATGTGGATGTCATTGGCTAGGCCAGCATTTATTGCCAATTCTGAAATGCCAAGGAGATGATGCTGATAAGCTGTCATGGTGAACTGCTGCAGTCCTTTGGATGTGGGGACACTGACATTCCTGTTAAGAAGGGAGTTCTAGGATTTTAGCACAGCAACACTGAAGGAATGGCGATATTGTTCCAAGTCAGGCTAGTCAGAGACTTGGAGAAGAACCTGCTGATGGTGGTGTACCCATGCATCTGCTGTCTTTGCTCTTCAAGGTGACGCAGTTACCGGTTTGCATGATACTAACAAAAGGGCCTTAATGAGTTATGCAGTGCATCTTGTCGATGGTTCACACTGTTACTACTGTATGTTAACAGAGAATTTTGAAGGTGGCTGAGTGTCATTCTAACAGTCTACCTTGTTGTGGATGGTGTTTAGATTCTAGAGTGTTGTTGAAGCTGCACCCATCAAGGCTAGTGGAGAGTATTCTATCACAATGCCAACTAGTGCCTTGCAGATAGTGAACAGGCTTTGGAGAGACAGGAGCTGAGTTAGTTGCAGCAAAATTCCTAACCTCTAAGCTACTCTCATGGCCACTGTATTTATATGGCTGGCCTAGTTTAGTTTCTGGTCAATAGCAACCAAAGAATGGTGGTAGTGGGAGATTCAGCAATTTATTCACATGTCTGAAAACCAAAAAAACCAAAGGAGGACTCAAAGATAGGCTGAGTTAGGGCCCTTGGGAAAAGACTTTGCTTGACCCAAACAGATCTAATATGTCTTTCCAAA